GAATGTCAAAAAATTATTTTGTCTTAGGTTTGTAAGTATAACATTGGGTGTGTGCATAAAAAAAGGGCTCCAACATTTTCTTTACATTTAAATGTTTTACTTATTTTGGGGGAATGTGACGGACTGAACCGTCACTGGTGCTGTTGGAGGAGCCTGGGGGCTAGCCTCCTTCCAACTGACTATGGACCCAGAACTATGGAGACCCCCCTCGGACTTCTTGGGGTTACAATGAACCATTCTACCAGGTTTATGTGTGGGGGGATGTACTGTACATGTTCCCTGGCATTACATTTGGATGGCCCTGTGTGTATTATAGGTACAGGCTGTGACTCCAGGAGCACTGAAGGGGGATAATTCTGGACATTGAACTGTTACAGTTTATTGGTCCTTTTGTTGTATTGTGTTGATGATGGGATTAGATAGCTGATTCTAGGAGTAGCTGACTCCAGGTGTAGATGAGTAAATCACACTATGATACACTCAGGAGATAATCCCATCACATGTGTCTCCTCCCTCCCTATTCATTCATTAAGGCATCGGGGAGGGGGAGGGGATGTTTGCATGCTGTTCATGTTTGATTGCGTTATGTGTTTAGACTTCTTGGACTGTATATATACTGAGCTGGTCTTCAATAAAGCAGTTCCCTGTTGGAACTTACATACAGCCTGCCTGGTGTTTGTTCTGAGCTGGATTGGAACGGCACATAGCTGTAGTTCGAATCCCGGATTATCTGACGATCGAAGGATCAGACGTTGCGGTCTGACATCTGATCCAATAGTAGCAGAGGAGTGCCGGGAGAGTGGAACCGAGCGAGCAAGGGGCTCGTTACAGGGGGGAATTCTTATTACTGTGTGATCATGCTCATTGATCATGCTCACACATAATGTGACTAAAAAAATAACAAAAATACATATTCCAAAATAGGTTAAATTTTTGTTCTTTTTCTGGGTTTTTGTTTCCACATGTTTTAGAGTATCCTGTTGCTATTTGAGATTTTTAGACAACAGGAAAAACTACTGGGAGAGAGGGTTAGGGTCACGATCATCCAGGCTGGTGTAGACTCCTTTGATTAGTAGAACACAGTAACTGCTGCCATTCACAGACTAGGACATTTAAGCTAGATAAGGCAGTCTGTGTTTAGAGTTCCTGGCAAAGCAGTACTTGAATTAGAATTCATCCATCCAGTCCTCTTTATATCAATAGTAGCCACTGGGCCCCCAGACTCAGGCCTTAGTGTGAACACATGGCTAGTCCCCTAGGCTTCAGGCCTAGCCAAATCAGGCGGTCATTAGCAGCCCCCCCACCAGGTAGGGCCTGGGAGGAGGCTGCTATGACCCAAAAGTTAGTATATAGTGGGCTATTGCTGCTATATGCTGAGAGCGCTGCAGTCGGGATGGATCCCGACAATACTTTGGAGATCCACCCAGTCGGCTTATTGACAGTGGGAGGATCAGAGAGGAGTCAGTCACCGCTCTCTGCAGGAAGATGATCAGGAAGTGAGCGAGCGGCGGTATGTCTTCGCTCACTTCCCGATCAATAGAGCCAGCTTGTGACAGTTTCAATGTCAAAGTCAGCTCTAACTATGGGGATGAGTGTAATTCATTCACCTCATAGTTCTCCTTTAAGCATTCAAAAATGTATGCTTACAGAAAAAAAGGTCAGTTCGGTAGAGCTGATTGTACTAAATGTTTTGTCTATAAAGTACAACAGAACTGAAACAGGGTTACTTACTAGTTCTGTCAATACCAAACTCAAAAGGGTCATTCAAAAAATTTGCAAATACAGTCTGCTACAAGGAACAAATTAATTTGCAGGTAATATAATTTGTATAAAGACACACCATTGCACAGAAGATTAGCTGCTTATGTATATTATGTTGATATACTGCATTTACAGTTTTTGTTTGGTCATTTATTTAGGTGCAACTTTTTGTGTGCAACTTATTGGCAGTTGTTTGGTTTTTTTTGCGATTTAAGCACTTCTGGCAGGCTCCTGTCATCCCAAGTATCTACCTTTTATACCCATGAATCAATTGATTAAAGTTTTAATAAGTGCCACACTCTCCTGAATAATTTATATTTTGACATTCCTTTTCTTTTATTAGGCTTTTTTCCCCCTTTATTTTCATTTGGTAATCCTGCAAAAACACACTTCCTGTCACTTAATGTCTACACGTTTTTCCAATGCATCTATAGAGGTAGCAGTGGCTGTCAAACAGGTTGGACTTCAAATATCTCTGCCTTTGTTCCTCTCCATTGCATGGTGGATTATGGCAAAATTAACAGGTATTTTCTGTGCTTGCTGGAAATGTTCTAAGTTTGAAAAGTGAAAACTAATGCAGCCACCATGTTTAATGGCTGGTTAAGCAACCAAAACTTTAACCGCCTCACGACCAGCTGTTGTAACGAACCGGCCAGCCGGGAGCTTCCTTGATCTGACAGGCCATTTAAAGACGTCCTGATAGCCACGCCCACTCGCACAGCGGGCGTGAACGGGAAACTAACAAAATTTAAAAACAGGCAGCGATGACTGTTTACATACAAGCGATCCACCGGCTATAGAGCCAGCGGATCGCTTGTATAACGTGCCGTTCTGTGCGCCCCTCCCCCCGGCTGGTCCCGAGCTCCGCTGTGTCTGGACAATCCCAAAAAACATGCAACATCGTGACACTGGTTTAATTACATCTCCAGCACATAAGAGAGGATTGCGGAAAGATCCTGTTTTTTTAAAGGGAAGCCTTGCAGCAAAATAGAAAACAAAAGTTGCTAAGCATGGTTGACAACAAAAGTGTAGATTGCCCAACTACCCAAAGGCCTAGCAATCGGAATTGAAGTACAGTTTACAAGTTGACCCTAATTTCTTCCTATGCAGTTTGTCAGCTTTCCCTACAACATCTTCCAATTAATTGATACTATAGCTGCTCTGTGTCCGTCCCCCCCCCCTTTATAGTTGGGGAACTGGCTTAAAAAAAGACCTCTTATTGGCCCTTCTTAGCCTGCTGTCCAAAGTTAAAAGTGAATGATGCAACGCATAATGGTTTAAAAAAATTCTCAAACGTGAATCTGCACATAAATTTGCTAGTATTGTGAAACTCAAACCTACAGGGTTTGCCTCAATCCGCTGTTTTAGCAAATCTGAACCTCATATTAAAGTAGGAAAAGGGACAATAAGGCTGCCCAGAATCTAAAAGTTTATAAAAGCCAGTTTTGTGAGTTCCAAACCTTTCATCGGCTTAGAGCAGTCAAAGCAATGAAAGTTGATTTCTGATTTCTAGTGTACTTGACTTACTACAATTTGCACTTCATCCAATTAAATAAGAATGACTTGCTTTACTAGATCACTTTTAACATGACATCATTAAACACTGTCTTTACCAACTCTTTGGAATGAGAAGCATCCTACAATATAGCCTCCTAATATGCGCTGGGCCATTTGAAGACCTTCCATATCAAACAAATCAATAAATCAATTGTACTTAAAGCAATAAGAACTTATACAACTACAAATCCAACCAAGTTTTACTAGCTCTGCTGTTTTACTCTCAGTATTTGTTTAGATTGTGTAAGCCTAGATATGCAGAACAGCATAACAATTGAAAAGTATTGAGAGCGTGTTAGAAAGGCGACTAAACTATGCATATGGGGTGGAGAACAAAATGAGGTGCTAAAAATATGAGGAAAGAGAAGGTCAGTAAACAGATGAGGAAATTTTGGAAACAGGAGAAAGAGAATCCACACGAAGATAAAAATACTGGAAAATGACCTGTATAGTTTGCCAGTGTTGCCTTTTATTAGAAATGTCAATAAACATGTAAAGCAGCTTGAAATTAGGTTCAGTTTTTTTTTTAGATATATAGCAATTTCAGAACATGCTCACTAACTTCCAGAAAGCTATTTTATGTTGAAATAGTCTATGGTGAATGGATAAACCAGCGCTGTTATTTCAGTACCAAAGCAAAAGTTTACATTTTACAGGTATTAGGAGATACTTGGCCCAGAAACAGCTGTAAATGCAGAGGTTTACAGGCCTGGTGTATGATGTGACAGCTCATCGCTGCTGCTGCTGCTGCTGATAAATGACAGTTTGTTGGAAACTGTACATACTATCTTTAACATTGTATGCACTCTTCTGATGGCTATACTCACATATAACATTTTAGGTGGTTCCCAAAATGTACTGTATATGATAGTCCAATTACTTTTTTTTTACAACAGTGCTGACATTTCTATAAACAAGTATATTTTAACCTTCAAACTTACTTCTGAGCACATAGAACACAAGGATAAAGAACAACCCTAAATTCTGTGCAAACTGACACTTCAGCATAGGCAGTGGTGTAGGACTTGATGGCGTAGATATGCAAGGAACAAATATGATTTAATGGGGCTGGTTCAGAGAAGATGGACATCCACAGATATTTTGCAATCATCATTTGATGCCCCAGTAATTCAAAACTGTTTGTGTTCTGTTCTTTACAACTTTAACTGAACTATAAAGGCATACAAGATTTAACAGGTGAGAGGAAATCAAGCATGCACATCCCATCCTTACTCTCCTACCCTATTCTACTGAACTTGTAAAGGTGTCCTTTGGACCCCTTAACTATTCCCTTCTGTTAAACACCTATTTAAACCTATTTTAAACCTAAAACAGAAACAAATAGTACTTCCTACTATTTTGCTAATTAAGAAAACATAATACATGTTAACTCGAACAAATTTCATTGTTTTCCCAACCCATAACAGACCTCTTTATGAAGAAACCCCAACAAGGGTCATTCTTAGGGAAACAGCAATTTCGTTTGTTTACAGTATAGCTGATTCTGATATTTGTTATTAAAAATAACTATAGCAGTACTGGACTGTAGAATAATTGTAGTTTCCTACATTCTTATTTCTTAAAAAATGAATCAATTCAGTATAATCTATTTTACTTAGAAACATGTTCTTTCAGTATATATTGACCAGGCAACAAATTATAAAATGATAAAAGTTTCTTACCTCTGACAGAAACGTCTGTGCAGATTTCTGGGCTCCTACATGCAGTAAATATTCATACACATATAAAGCTAATCTGAAAAGAGAAAAAAAAAAAGTATTTCCAACAATACATAACAGTAAATTCAAAAAGTATTGCTATACTTTATCAGGTTTTTAATTGATCACAAAAACAAAATAATATATATGCATGAACTAGTTAACTAATTTAATAAAAGAGTGGAAGAGTAACGATTATGGGCAGTTATCCATTACAGTTACCAAAAATCTTCTGTTAAAGTAGTATCAAAAACTCTCAAACTTTGTTCAATAATTAATCCATATTAAACAAATATACATTGCCCAACAAAGTATTGCTTTAAATTTCTGATCAAGCACTTAGTCAATATGTTTCTGAACAGCTGGTTCCAATTCTCTCAGCTTAGTTTAACTGAACTTCCTGTCCGGTACAAGATCACAAACGACAGCACAGACTTCAACAGCTCTACACCTACTAGCTTGGAGAAAAGAGGAGTGAGGGGCAGGGATGAGGGAAGTGGTTTACCTTGCTGTAGCCTGTGTGTTTGTGGAGACACACACAGCTTACTAGCACACACAAGGGTGGCTCCATAGGACCATGCAAGGGAAAAGAGCCACCCTAAAACAGGATATCAGGGCCAGTGCTCAGGGGAGCAGCTGATTCCTCAGGAAGCAGACTTTTAAACATTAAGGAGCAGCATCCATTGTAAGTGTTTTAATCAGCATTTGAAATGACTTAAGAACTTTTTGAATTTTAATATCACTTTATTTTCCCTGATGGTAGTAAACTGATTTTTCACAAACAGTGAATTATTTATTACAAGTATTTAGGGCTTGTTCACACCAAAAGCGTGTGCGTTCCAGAGCGATAGCTGCTGGAACGCACATAAGTTTCTCAGCGATCGCGGTGCGTTCCAGCAGCTACTGCTCTGGAACACACACGCTTTCGGTGTGAACAAGGCCGTATATACCACCAACAAATTACACAGCGCTTTACATAGTTGCACATTTACATCAGTCCCTGCCCTCAAGGAACTCTGAGGCCCCCATCTCACATACAGGGCCAATTTAGACAGGAGCCATTTAATCTACCAGCATGTCTTTCGAGTGTGGGAAGAAACCAGAGTACCCAGAGGAAACCCACGCAATCACAGGGAGAACATGCAAACTCCTTTAGTGACCTGGCCAGGATTCAAACCAAGGACTCCCAGTGCTGCAAGGCAGAAGCGCTAACCACTATGCCACTGTGCTGCCCGAATTTACACACCTTTAATATGCATCTAAATGTAGGAATAGAAAGGAGGCATGACTATTATTTCAAATTATGTTTTCACTCTGACTCTGTGACCACTGACATATAAAGTCGTGCCAATGCTCAACCAGATATAATTCAAGGGTGCTCTTAGTTACAGCAATGGATCATGCTTTGCATGCCTTTAGACATTTTGAATGTATGTGACACTATGAATTATGAAGATCATGAAAGTTTCTTGATGGAAATAAAATCCACTGTACTTGGTCAGGACTGTTTTTGAAAGTAACGTGGCAGTTATGATACACATCAGGATCCTAGTCCTGAAGTCTTTCAAATGAAAATCTGTCAGACATTTTTCTCTTGTTTAAGAGAAGACAAAATGAAAGACAAAAGGTGCCTACTATGCAGTTGACTAGCCAGAAAGCCTTCTGGACCTGTTCTCACCCAAGCGTTGCCTTAATGGCGCAATGCCATGCGATTAACACAAGCTATCATACAATGCACCTAATGTGCATTACCATTAATGTCAATGGCACCCCAACACATCTCCCAGCCACAGTGCAATTAATGTTACGCTTAGGTGCGAACAGGCCCTCAAACTTATCTTACTTTGATAGGAAGGGCATGCATCCCTGCCTATAGGACTACGCCCTGCCCAACTTCAATATACCGTATATACTCGAGTATAAGCCGAGATTTTCAGCCCATTTTTTTGGCTGAAAAGTGCCCCCCTCGGCTTATACTCGAGTCAGCGTCAGTGGTGTCTTCTTACTTACCTCGCGAGCGTCGCGTCACTGTTGCTCCGGTGGGCGGCGCTCCGAGCGGGGTCATCTGGCAGTCTTCAATACTTTTTCCCAGTTTTTTGTGATAAAATTAGGTACCTCAGCTTATATTCAGGACAGCTTATACTCCAGTATATACGGTACTAATGTTAATTTATTAAAGGAGTTAAGTATGCTCACACCATAAGTTGTGGAAGATTCACTTCAATTATCCACTCTTGTTAAAATAAAATTTCTGTTTACTTTTTTTTTATATGCACATGATTGGATAATTGCAGAAAATATGTACACATTTTTGTGTAAACATTATCAACTTGTTAGTAAATCAGCCTCTCTGTCTAATGAGATTTTCAATATGAGTGTTCTCATTAATGATTGGGTAAATCATGGGTGGGGCCTAGTCATAAAGTCTGTAGATAATATACAAGTGTCTTGCTGCACTCCTTACTGGTTTAAATATGGTCTGTAAAATCCAGGCAGGTGCTCGCAGTACCACGGATGGTGTTGTGAAGATATACAAGTTTAAAAGGATGTCACCAGCACACCATGGTAAAATGAGATCAGGAAAGTCCATTTATTGATGGAATACTGCGATTCCAGTACAAGCGCTTTCGGGGCCGCACAAGGTCCCCTTCATTAGTCTCAGAATGACCATGTGCGGCCCCGAAAGCGCATGTACTGGTATAGCAGTATTCCATCTATAAACGGATTTCTGCTGATTTCACTTTACCATGGTGTGCTGGTGACATCCTTTTAACTAAAGTTTGTGAGGTCATAAATTTAATAAACCAGTATTAGGTGGATGTATATTTGCTACCTGGACTTTTACTTTTAAAGTTTAAAATGGCTGATAGTTCACTCTACAGCTGCCCATAGACCTTGCTATCATCGGACGAAACTTTTTGTCCGATGATCGAACCGTCGTATTTTCAAACCCATCCTGCCCCGATGATCAAACCCATTCTGCCCCGATTATCACAAGGTTGAATCAGCAGTAATTAACAGAAAAGCACCTGGATGAATTGCGGTAATCGACCGCACTTATTTTTGTCTGCGCATATGCAGTGTAAAATCGGGGTACGAATTTTGACGTACGGAAACACCACCAACTTTGCGAAAATCGTACGATCGACCGAAGTTTTTTAACCTGCTGGTTAGTCAAATGTCAATCGATTGTACAGCATTTGCGGTTGTACACTGCACGTCAACCTTACAAATATCGGACGAAAACGCGATTGCATACGAAAATCGGCCGATATTCGTAAGGTGTATGGGCAGCTTAAGACATAACTTGTAAATGATATTCTTCATTAACTGGCTTAAGAACAGGTGTTGCAATGGGAGCCATACAACCTAGCCCAAAGAGAAGAGTAGTGAGCATCCATTGAGTTCCCCATTTCCCAGACAATATTTACCAGTCTAGCATCATTGTTCTTCCAAAGCTTTATTCACATTAGAAAAATAGCCTTGCACTAGCCCAAATACACTATACAGTGTTGCACAGAAAAAGAGGTGACCACCTTGAAACAACCAAAAAAGAGGACTTCCCTAAGATACAGTGTGCAAAGAAATTTGACGAAAATTGAAAAATTATGCGGGAATAATGAACAATAACTGCGCTTACTGGCATAACTGAAAAAAGATTGCCCACATAATTAAAATGATTACAAACACAATATACTGTATACAGCAAGTTATCTCTACCATTAGATAAGAGGAAAATAAGTTTTCCTGTCTCCATAGACCTAGATCTTAGTAACAAGTTGTGAAATGCTCAAAACAACCAATAAAGCAAATGATAAACAAGTTATAAAGTGCAATATATATAACTTCATTTAATCTACTGTGCAGCAATAATTATTCAAATAGCCTGCTGTGCAATGGCCAGCTTTTTATAGAAGATGTTAATAAAAAAAATATTCTTGCAAATCATAAATTTATGTGCAATAATAACAGAAGAATGCACAGAAAGTATTTAACTTTTTTAAAAATAATTATGGTATACAATAAAAGAGAGGTCTCTAAATGTGTAACCAAAATCTGCTCAAGAAAGTTGTTTGCTCGGAGCAGACAGAGTATAGTATACCTGCTATATCAAACAGTACTAAGAACTTGGGAGTACTAAGCACCAATACCAGTACCAAAGTGGTAAAGATCGTGGAATCCAGTGTTTTTAATCTAATTTGTGACAATAAGAAAACAACTTATCTTCTGCAGACCACAAACACATCAGTTTTGGAGGGATTTGTGACTATAATGGAAATTATGTTCTCTTGATTGTATATTACATATCTTTGCATTCGTTTCTCAGCACACATTACAATTCAAATGTTGATAATTTTCCAATTAATACATTTTAATACTTTTAAATCGAAAATGTATTTGATTATACCACATAACTTGTAACCCCGTAGAAATCTACTGCAAACTTTTCAGGCTGTTTCCATTCTTGTTTCAACATCAAACAAATCTACTGAAAGCTTTCAAACACTGCCTATGGGTTTAATTTTAATACACCTGATTGGATTGTCAAGATGACTGGACTATTAATTAGACTGAAATGTATAATGTTCAGGGTGAAGAAAGTTGTCCTATATTAAATAAGTTTGAAGGGAGGGACAAAGTTCTAAGCCATCTACAGAGATTCCAGTAACTCAAAGTAGCGACTCATCTCCCTCACACCCACGTGTAAAAGCGAACTGAAGTGGCCTAAAATGCTTTTATGGTTTAAAACAAATCTGAAATACCCATTTAGGCTTTAAATCAATGTGGGCATCCAAGTGGAAACCTTTGGATCTATGATGTACACGAGCCAAGTTGAAATTAAGCCTCTCCCATAAATAAGCTCCACCCCTTTATTGAAATGTAAGAACTTCAGTAGATAGTTGAGGCTCTTGCATTTAACTTGATGGTTTAAGGCTTAGTGCCAGAAATTTGTAGCTTAATTCAGAGCAGGGCAGAAGTCAAGGCTACATGTGCAGCCTGTTCCTAGGACCCAAGTGCCTCCCCCCCATAGAAAGA